ACGTTTCTTGTGTTGCATATATATATATATGATAAATATGGGCTTGTTCACAATTTTTTAATGCCTGATGGATGTAATGTCTTTGTTCATTGAGAAATGGTATATATTATGCTCGTCAATGCTTTTTCTGTGATCCTAAAAAGTTTTATTTTTTATCAGACTGAAGTACCGTTCCTCAATAAAACTTGAAGCCCTTTCCTGTGTTTTATTCATCATGAGAACGAGCGAGAGTAGAGGTGCTTACAGTTCGACCCAAAGAAACTCAGCACGGTACTTGACTTTTGTGTAAACCATGGCAACTCCAGTTGCGAAACAAATTTTTTAAATTTGCAATACAAGTGTGTATGAAAAGTCAATTCAAAGATTACTTTAATTATGCTAAATCAACATTTCATTTGCAATTTGCAAGCTGTAATACTTTATTTAGTAAATTCACTTTGAGACTGTAAGATGTGATAGTAAGACGACCCTAACAAGTCAATTCAAATTTTTGAGATTATATCTAAAGTTTTCCTAGGCTTAAAAAAGAAAATTCCCCAGATTCTATCAAAGTTTTCATTGAATCTATCAAGTTTTTATGACATTCAATTAAAGTTTTCTAAGTTTCTATCAAAATGAAATTCTATTAAAGTTTGCTTAGATTCTATCAAAGCTTTAGGATAAACTGTAAAATGTTCTGTTTTTGTGGATTTGGGTTGGATTATTGTACTGTGAAGTGGAGTGTCAATAAGATTTGTGACAATAATTATTCATACAATTAAAAATATTTAATGGAAAATATTTAATTACGTTTACGTCTGTCTCTTTTCTGCACAAAACAGTCACTTAACATAAAGGGGGGGGGGCGGGAGGATGGGAGGGACTTAAAGTCTGGTTATAGGGTGGGGGGTAATGTATAGTTATCGAAATTCTTTAGTTTTCAAGTTAAAATCTTGAATTTTGGATAAGTGCTCACTACAAGTTTTAATTTTCTAATCTCTTTATCTTGTCTACCAAATATAGCAGGTCGTAGACCATTTAATTACACATTTATGAATTATATTAGACAAAAAACTAAGTTTAATCAATACCAAAGTTTTACACCATTATGTTGTAAAGATTATTAGAGTTTGTGGTAAGTGTACAGCTACTTTTTAAAAATCTTACCATTTTCAAATTTTAATAGATAGCAATTAAAAATACTCATAACTTTAAAAAGCGTTGATACATCTCTTTTCCTGAGATGGCCAAATTTACCGAAAGTAAATACAACTCTTCAATTAAAAATATATTGCACTGTTGTAAAACAATATACTTTTTACCCAAATATCTTAGCTTCTAGATAATTGCAGAGAATCTGTATCTATATATATGAAGTTGTAATTCCTGTTTGTGTGTCTGTTTGTTTGTCCGATCATAACTCAGGAACTATCGAACCTACTTAACTCTAATTTTTATTGGGGAACTCGGGAGACCCATGGTAATGTTCTTAGTTTGGTTTTGAGATTCTAAGTTGATTGGCTTGACTTTAATAGCGAAAATGTAGTTTCCTGGCAAAATCGTCCAAGTGCGGGTAAACGGCTAGAGTAGCTATGAGTACCCCTAGGCAACACTGGGTTCCCAGGCTAGTTATCTTTGCTTGTTGGTCTGTTAGTTTGTTTGTCAGATAATAACTCAGAAACCCTTTCACTGATTTTTATGGTGAAACTCACTATAACCAACGGTAGTGAAATGTTCTTTGGTTGGTTTGAAAATTGGTCAAATCAAAGCTGTGTTCTCAATCTTTTACAAAATAAAATACAACATTGTCTTTACTTGCTCCCAATAAGACAAAAAAGATTGTTATTAAATGTTATTTTTTAACAATTTAAGTTTGAGTTTAAGCCGATGACAAGAAAATCGACTATTTTTACCAGAGAAATAGAAAAACAAAATTTTACAAGGGTCAGATTTTTATATGTTTATATAATACTGTATTAAAATAATGCATTTTTTAAAGCATAGATGATAGATCTTTGTAAATATCAAGTTTTAAAAAGAGTTCTTGCTATAAACTCACTCAAAAACCTAGAAAAACAGGTTTAATACTGTTATGAAAGTGTTTTATTATTAAGTTTTTAAAGCAGGCAGGTAAACATAACTTCACAATGAATGTTACTGTATAATAAAACCACGTGGAATGATGTTAAATAATATACTAAACCACATGGTATGATGGAAAACAATCAACTAACCCACGTGGCATGTTGGAAAACAATCTTCTAAACCACGTGGCATGATTGAAAACAATAAACTAAAACCCCATGGCATGGTGGAAAACAATCTTCTAAACAACATGGCATGATGGAAAACAATCTACTAAACCGCATGGCATGATTGAAAACAATCGACTAAACCACATGGCATGGTGGAAAACAATTTACTATACCACATGGCATCATGGAAAACAATCTACTAAACCACATGTCATCATGGAAAACAATCCACTAAACCCTATGGCATGTTATTGGTAGTTACAGTATATAGTGGTCAAATATCAGATATTTAACTTATTGGTAGTTACAGGTATATAGTGGCCAAATATCAGATAATCAACTCATTGGTAGTTACAGGTATATAGTGGTCAAATACCAGATAGTCAACTCATTGGTAGTTACAGGTATATAGTGGCCAAATACCATATAATCAACTCATTGATAGTTACAGGTATAAAGTGGCAAAATACCAGATAGTCAACTCATTGGTAGTTAAATGTATATTGTGGCCAAATACCAGATAATCTACTCAATTGGTAGTTACAGGTATATAGTGGTCAAATATCAGATATATAACTTATTGGTAGTTACAGGTATATAGTGGCCAAATACCAGATAGTCAACTCATTGGTAGTTACAGGTATATAGGTGCCAAATACCAGATAATCAACTCATTGGTAGTTACAGGTATATAGTGGCCAAATACCAGATAGTTCAAAAATGAATGAAAAATTAAAGTTTAATAAAATTGAATTTCTCTTAAATTTCTGAAAACGTCCAGTTAATTTCAAAAATGCTAAAAACCTTTATTTCAAATGTATATGTAATAGTTAAAAATTGCAAAGGTGAAAATCACTTGATTTTACTTCCTGAATCTCATAAAATTCGGCCTTTGGGACCTTCTTGGGCTTGCCTCAGGAGCTGAAAATAATATTATTTTAATTGTCTATTTAATGACACTTAAGGCAATGCCAAAGGTCTACACAAATCAATTCGTAATAATTTAGCATGCTCAATCTGTGCAAAAACAGATGATCTCTCGTTATGACACCATATTAGACATTAAACAGTCGGATTGTGAAAATTGAAAATATGTTTCCCAATCCAGCTGTCATATCTTTATCCTCTTTATTCCAGGTTTGCCGGTCAACCCGCTCCTGCATCTTGTGGAGCAGCTTTCCAACCTGGACATATATCCTGGAGCAAACTTCCTCCCTGCTTGCTTTGGGATAAAGATTAAACTCCTGCTCCCAGGCCTTCCTTGTGTCCCATACATCGATATTGGGATCCACAAGGGGCTCTTGGGTGCTTGTGTCCTCTAGAGCGGAGGACATCGTACTCTTGAGCTCCTGGTTCAGCTTCGCTAACTTATCCAACACCTTCTGCATGGATTGCACCAGAACCTCAGTATCATCATCCTCATTCTTGTCCTCTACTTTTTCCTCAGCTACATCTCCATCCTCCGAGGCTAGAGCAGTAAAAATGGGAGCAGTTCCACTGACGAGAGGAGCAAGATCTGCAGGATCAACTTCATCTACATCTGGAGCAGCTTCAGCTACATAAGCAGGATTGCTTACTACTACAAGTAGCTCGTTCAAATAGGTTCCCTCTGTATACTTTGTAGGTAGTACGGAGCACATAACGTTAGGAGTAGACTGACGTTTATATTTACGTGTCTACACTTCTAAGGTTCATGCAGTACTGCCCGCTCCGGCATCCGCTTGTATTCAAGGGACTGTTCACTCTTATTCAGGAACGGTACAGGATACAACTTTAATGCCAATATCTTTTCCAACCTGATGATGTAAACCTTTCATATTTCAATCTTAGATTATTTGATCTAAATGAATTCATAGTTTGAAATATATCTAAGATCTACAACATTGGATTGCAATAATATTTTCTAAATCCTAGTTACCCAATGTTATAGGACATGTTTAATATCAAAGGTTTACACCATCTGGTTGCAAAGCTAAAGGTAATAGAATATTTGAGTGTGTGACAAAACCTCAATTCCTTTTAAAACAATTCCTATACCTGAGCGATCATTCATCTTGGTGTAGATACAACCATCATGGCATCCAGCTTCAACTGCAGATGCATTGTTGGTAGTATTAGTGTACATTTCATGCAACAAGTAGGTTCCACATCTTACATCACCATCAACTCCAGATACTTCCTATATATAGTATTCAATACATTTCATGCAACAAGTAGGTTCCACATCTTACATCACCATCATCATCAGCTACTTTCTATATATAGTATTCAATACATTTCATGCAACAAGTAGGTTCCACATCTTATATCACCTTCATCTCCAGATACTTCCTTTATGTATAGTATTCAATACATTTAATGCAACAAGTAGGTTCCACATCTTACATCACCGTCATCATCAGCTACTTCCTATATATAGTATTCAATACATTTCATGCAACAAGTAGGTTCCACACCTTACATCACCATCATCTCCAGCTACATCCTATATATATATAGTAAGTATTTAATACATTTCATGCAACAAGTAGGTACCACATCTTACATCACCATCAACTCCAGCTACTTCCTATATATAGTATTCAATACATTTCATGCAACAAGTAGGTTCCACATCTTACATCACCATCATCTCCAGCTACTTTCTATAAATAGTATTCAATACATTTCATGCAACAAGTAGGTTCCACATCTTATATCCCCATCATTTGCAGTTACTTTCTATATATTGATAAATGTAATAAATGTGTACCATCAATTAAGATGGTTGTATTGCGACCAATGGTCATGATCTGTTTGATAGTAGTCCCAAAAGATCCCCTGTTGGAATCTGGACGGCCCCTGGATAAGGTCATGTTTTCTGTGTCTCTGTATACAATAAACTTTAATTAAAACCCGGTTATATTTATCAAATAAATAATAGACTCAAGAGATAGTGTACAGTTTTTACCTCAGTTTAAACCAACTCTCCTTATTTACTATATATATATATATATATATATTTAGTAAATAAGGAAGAAAGTCAAGGGATAGTGTACATTGTACAGTTTATATATCTGTTTAAACCAACTCTTGTTTCAAGTCACTTAAACTAGTTCTCAGTTTTATTTTTGTCCGGCATTGTAGCTTAAATGCGCATGAAAGCGAACAAGTATATTTGTCAGAATAAAATGATTTGTGACAAAATAGTAAACAATAAATATTGATAGTTTGGATTCGTTAGGGTTACATTAAGGTATAATTACTTGTTGTTCCTGGTTTGCCTTGTGTTATATATGTTATACTGAGTGTCCCATATCACATCTGATTATTCTTTGATTTATGAAAAACCTAACTTACCTATTAATTGTATGTAAATCTAAATACATAAATGGTTTATCGTTCTATATTATATTATAATGGAATGTTTTCCTTTTTTAGATTTAAAATAAATTCTTTCTACATAACTGATCTGTCAATTATGAGTGTTACAGAGAAGATCAAGAGTTACAGTCTGCCTCGTAGATACCAAACCCAGTAAGGAGATAGATATCCTTATTGAACAGTATCAGGGTCGGGATGATTGCTTTATTAGGGTATCAAGTGCATCTCCCTTTCTTTTCGGAATTTAGAATGCAATTACTCTAAATTAAATGAAGAAATTGTAAAAAAAATTGTCTTCTTTGAACAACTATCTACTGAACAGCTTGGCTTAATTCATTAAATACACTTGTTGTTGAAATCTGGTTAAATAATATTTCTGTTGGACACAACAATTGTAGATCATTCACAAAAATAAGAAGATTTTAGATAACTTTTCCCTGGAAAAATTAGTCTATAACTCATCCCTGGGGTCATTTGAGTTGATACAAAAAATCTGGTCCTAGTAGTTATGCTTTTTTGACGTTTATTAAATACATTTTTAGTAAAAAAATTAAGCAAAATATGTTTATATTTGAAAAAACATGTCCAGCCCTAATTTCACCTTTATCTTGCAGCATTGGGATAGAGTATATCCAATAGTAGAGATGAAGTAGAGAACTAGAAGGGTAGTTTTCATCTTGGAGTTCAGGATTGGAATGAAATCAGAGTTTAAACAAGTGTACCATGAAAACTATTTAATGAAGACAAGTTCTCATATCATCACTGTTTTATTAGTGTTGTTAAAATATAATTTGGGACATTACTCAATAGAGGAAGGATTGGAATGAAATAAGAGAAAAACCAAGTGTTTTATGATAAGTATTTCATGAAAATAGTTCTTACAAGTCATGTCATTATTATTTAATAGCATTGTTAAAATATGATTTGGGAATTCATTCAGTTGAAAATATTTATAATCTAAAAACTAAAATTTGTAAAAAAAATTATTATTTTTGAATTTTGAATTTAAACAATATGAGACGGGTTATCAGTTCCTTTACAGTATATCTGAACTTTATTTACTCAGTGGTTTAATCAGTCCAACCTAGTTTAATTACCTTTATCTGTTTATAATTACCAACTTTAAGCCTTCATCATATAAAGTGATTCATTTTATCTATTTCATCTTTTTCTTACTCTTTTAAAGAATATATATGAACAATTTAACAAATACATATAATTCTAAATATAGACTTAATTGAACTACTTCTGTTTAACTGTTGAATCAGTGGTATATGGTTCAACTACTTCTTATCATTCATTAAATCTCATACCAAGATTTTCCCCTGTAGACTTTATACAACGTAAACCTAAATATATACTAATTTTTTAAAAAATTAGCCTAAAGTTTTGCAGATTTTTTTTTAAACTATCTGAGTAATGATTAAAAATTATGTACAAAATTGTATGCTATGACCGACCCTCTTTATTTTCCTTTTTTTCTATCTCTCTTTTTCTTCTCTCTTTTTCTTCTCTCTTTACATTATCTCTTTTCCTTCCTTCTCTTCTTTTTTTCTATTCTTTCTCTCTTTTCATTCTCGCTTTTCTTGCTTTCTTTTTCATCTATCTTTTCTTTCTTTCTATTTCTTCTCTCTTTTCCTTCTTTCTTTTCCTTCTCTCTTTTCCTTCTCTCTTTTCCTTCTCTCTTTTGCTTCTCTCTTTTTCTTCTCTCGTTTTCTTCTCTCTTTTTCTTCTCTCTTTTTCTTCTCTCTTTTCCTTCTCTCTTTTCATTCTCTTTTCATTCTCTCTTTTCCCTTTTTTGCTTCCTTTTCCTTTTTTCCTCTCTTTTACATAAAATTTATATTTTTACTATTTTAGAAAATGTCACCCACCCGGAAGAATTTTATTTGGGACCATTACTCAGTCAGTCCATCAGATTCAGACCAGGGTAAATGCAACAAATGCAGCTACACATGCTCGAAGTAAAAAAAAACTTCATCTACTTCTTGCATGTACATCATCTTAAATCAGTTCAGTCTTTATCAAAGAAAAAACAAGTAGGATTGAAGCTTCTTCCAATAAAAACTGCATTATCGAAGAAAACTGCCGGAGAATGGCTTGAGCGCCAAGTTTGCTTGGATGGAGTATCAATGAATCAACTCGCTAAATCTGAGTTTTAATCAGCAGCCTTAACTGCCATGGGGTTCAAACATCTCAAGTCCCATACAACAGTTTCCGAAGATGTAAACAAGTTTGTTGAAGTGAAGAAAAATGCTTTAAAAATTCAAACTATTGAAGAAATCGAATCTGGAACAAGATACAGCATTAAAACTGATGAGTGGAGTTCCTCAGCTGAACCAAGGAATTTAATCAATTGTGCTTGAAAACAAGAGATGATTCAAATAACCTAGGACTAGTCCAGGTACAAGGTAGCCTGACCACTTGTGTGACATTTTTAAAATAAAATGTGTAACATTTAATCCTTTGTTATCATTACAATCCCAGACATAAATCCTAGGGAAATCAAGATCAATCCTTGTCCCTCATCTTTGAAGGTTAATACAAGACTTCACTTTCATTCCCAGTACCAATTCATAATTTACCCAAACCTCTCATCTTGTGTATTATATCTATCTCTCAAGATCTTGAATAAGTGGGTTTAGCAATATACATTTTATTGGCACAAATATATCTGTTAATATCTATTTATATTAAATCATATTCCATATATAGAGTCCCTCAGCGGTAAAACCAGTCTCCACTAGCTCTTATATAGGAAGAGTCCCTCAGTGGTAAAGCAAGCCTCCACTAACTCTTACATAGGAAGAGTCCCTCAGCGGTTAAGCAAGTCTCCACTAACTCTTACATATGAAGAGTCCCTCAGCAGTTAAGCAAGTCTCCACTAACTCTTATATATGAAGAGTCCCTCATCGGTTAAGCAAGTCTCCACTAACTCTTATATATATGAAGAGTCTCTCAGCGGTTAAGCAAGTCTCCACTAACTCTTACATAGGAAGAGTCCCTCAGTAGTTCATCTGAGCCTCTGTTCCCTGCTGGACAAGATGTGGTCTCAGCTAATCCTTCTATAGATAATGTAACTGGTGATCTCCTGATCAATCCTAGCTATCTATCAATCTGCCACAGACCTATGATCTTCTCCTGTGATACTTGTAACTGGTGATTTATGATCATCCTAGTTCTCCTGTGGTTCATATAGCTGGTGATCTTTGTGATCCATCCTAGCTTTCTATCAATCTGCTCTGGATCTCTAGTCTCCACAGTATCTGCAACTTCCACAATATCTGCAGTATCCTCAATATCCACAGTATCCACAGTATCTGCAGCATCCCTAATATCTGCAGTACCCAAAGCATCTGCAGTATCCTCCATATCTGCAGTGTCCACAATATCTGCAGTATCCACAATATCTGCAGTATCCACAGTATCTACAATATCTGCAGTATCCACATTATCTGTAGTCGGCTCTGCATCTCTGTTGATCTACAGTCTGCTCTATATCTCTGTGATCTGTAGTCTGCTCTGCATCTCTACAGTATGCTCTATATCTCCCATCATGATCTCCCATCTACTTGATATATCCTTGATCTGGATCCATTGGCCTGTATTATCTTCTGAGTCCCCAGTGTTTCTAACCATAGAAACACCTGGAATATTAGAGGGTTTAGGGAGTTGAACCAGCTGTATAGAGGTGGAACTACATTGCTCTGATTCTATTATCCATTCTATAGTTCCAGCAATCCTCGGAGTCTCCAGTGTTTCTAACCATAGAAACACCTGGGATATCAGAGTGTGTAGATAGTTGAACCAGCTGTATAGAGGTGGAACTACATTGCTTTGATTCCATTGTCTGCTCTTTAGTACCAGCGATCCTTGGAGTCTCCAGTATTTCTAACCATAGAAACGCCTGGATTGTTGGAGCATGTAGGTAGTTGAACCAGCTGTATAGAGGTGTAACTACATTGCTCTGATTCCATTGTCTGCTCTATAGTACCAGCGATCCTTGGAGTCTCCAATATTTTTAACCATAGAAACGCCTGGATTGTTGGAGCGTGTAGGTAGATGAACCAGCTGTGTTGAGGTGGAACCACATCTCTCTGATTCTCTTGTCTGTTCTACAGCTCCAGTGAGTGAACGTATAAAATGCCTTTTTTTGCTGAAAAATAGGTGAATTTTTTATTAACATAGGTATGTATGGTAGTAAGCAGATACTTTTCTTATAAAACTATAAGATTTTTTTGTAAAATCATGATAAAAAAAAATATATTTAGCAAGAAATTCAACTTTAAAAATCTTTAAATTGCCTCTTTTTTTTCTTTAAGACTTGCTTAAGTTTTTGTCTTGGAAGTGACTGTAGTTTGAAAATGAAAAATAAATTTAAATTATTACTACTTTTACTACCTTCTATTTACCTCACATAAAGCTAATGTGAAAAATAAGGCATTTTATACATACAGCTCCAGTGATCCTCTGAGTCTCCAGTGTTTTTAACCATAGAAACACCAGGAATATTAGAGGGTGTAGATAGTTGAACTAGCTGTGTCTCTGATTATCTCTGATTCTATTGTAAACCTGAGATATCTTTCTCATCAATGGTTTATTCCTCTGATCTGTTGTAACCTGAGATATCTGTCCTACAGTACTACAGAGTAGAAAATGATATTTTTGTGCAGATATTTGGTTTTTATATTACCATTAAATTGAACATGTTTTATTCTTCTCTAAAAATGGTTGTATAAAAAAAATTCGAAACGTAACTGAACGCTGGCTTCAAACTCTATTTTTCTAATTTTAAAGTTAAAGATTAAGGAAGTATCAATTGAATAGATGATTTAAAATTGAACTGGTGAAACTGGTAGAGCTGTAGTTTCACTAAAAGATCAATCAGATTCTGCGTAAAATTAAAAATTTTCCACTTTGGATATCGAGATCAAACGAATTTAAAACATTTTTAAGGGACTATTGTATTTTATTTTTTAGGCTCCTTCGAAACCTCTTCGTGTGACAGCCTCTTACTTCAGAGCAAGTCCATTCTTTCTTTTCCACATAATCTTCAGGGGGATTTCTTTAGGTTAGTTTTATTAAGCCAAAAAACTGTTTACTAAATTTTTCACATAATCTTCAGGGGGATTTCTTTAGGTTAGTTTTATTAAGCCAAGAGACTGTTTACTCAATTTTCCACATAATCTTCAGGGGGATTTCTTTATTTTTATTAAGCCAAAAGACTGTTTACTCAATTTTCCAGATAATCTTCAGGGGGATTTCTTTAGGTTAGTTTTATTAAGCCAAGAGACAGTTTACTCAATTTTCCACATAATCTTCAGAGGGATTTCATTAGGTTAGTTTTTATTAAGCCAAGATACTGTTTACTCAATTTTCCACATAATCTTCAGGGGGATTTCTTTAGGTTAGTTTTTATTAAGCCAAGAGACTGTTTACTCAATTTTCCACATAATCTTCAGAGGGATTTCATTAGGTTAGTTTTATTAGGCCAAGATACTGTTTACTCATTTTTCCACATAATCTTAAGAGTGATTTCATTAGGTTAGTTTTATTAAGCCAAGATACTGTTTACTCAATTTCCCACATAATCTTCAGAGGGATTTCTTTAGGTTAATTTTATTAAGCCAAGATACTGTTTACTCAATTTTCCACATAATCTTTAGTTTTCCTTGAATACAAATTAAGTTTTTGAAAATATTGCAAATATTTGAATTCACCGTTTTAGGTGTTTTTCAAAATAGCGCACATTTTGTTTTGTAAAATTTTTGCTTTTATAACTTGCAATAAATATTTGGAATTTGGAAAATTTGCAATTTTTTTGGCAGATTGTTTAAGCAGAACCCAAAGGCTTTCTAAGATGTATCAAACGTTATAAATTTGTATCACAATAAGGATATAAAGGGGGGATCCCCGGGACATCCCCCCCCCCCGAACTATTTTGGGTAAACCAGACATCAGCCTGAGAATAGAGTTAATTATGGGTAACTCTTAATTACGTTGAAAATGTCTTTTAAAGATTTAAGTCTTTGCCACAAACTCTAATTTTGTAATAACTACATAATGGAAACTCCAATGTCGTAGATCTTAGATATTTCAAACTATAATACATAGATATTTCAAAGACTCAGTTCCTTTAATTTATTACAAAATTATATATAATTTTGTTCAGGGTTGGTATTCTCCCTGGTCCCAGGTTGGGTTGGAGTTATAACGATTCTGCTCCTGCTTGGTTCGAACCTGTTCCAGCTGATATATGTTTGTAGCTTATCCTTGCATCAAGCTCTTATATCCAGTCTAGTATCTATACTCACTCCTTCCATATTTCCGGGAAGGAAACCATTATCATTCGACCTGGTGGCCAAATATCAGATAGTCAACTCATTGGTAGTTACAGGTATATAGTGGCCAAATACCAGATAGTCAACTCATTGGTAGTAAATAGGTATACAGTGTCAAATATTAGATAATCAACTCATTGGTAGTTACAGGTATATAGTGGCCAAATATAAGATAGTCAACTCATTGGTAGTTACAGGTATACAGTGGTCAAATACCAGATAGTTAATTCATTGGTAGTTACAGGTATATTGTGGTCACATATCAGATAGTTAACTCATTGGTAGATACAGGTATATAGTGGTCAAATATCAGATAGTTCACTCATTGGTAGTTACAGGCATATATTTGGCTAAATACCAGATAGTCACCTTATTGGTAGTTACATGTATATAGTGGCCAAATACCAGATAGTTAATTCATTGGTAGTTACAGGTACAGGTATATAGTGGTCAAATATCAGATAGTCAACTTATTGGTAGTTACAGATATATAGTGGTCTAATGGCAATAGTCAACTCATAAGTAGTTACAGGTATATAGTGGTCTAATATCAGATAGTCAACTCATTGGTAGTTACAGGTATATAGTGCTCAAATATCAGATAAACAACTCATTGGTAGTTACAGGTATATAGTGGTCAAATACCAGATAATTAACTCATTGGTAGTTACAGGTATAAAGTGGCCAAATACCATATAGTTAACTCATTGGTAGTTACAGGTAAATAGTGGCCAAATATCAGATAGACAACTCATTGGTAGTCACAGGTATATAGTGGCAAATTACCAGATAATTAACTCAGTGGTAGTTACAGGTATATAGTGGTAAAATATCAGATAATCAACTCATTGGTAAATACAGGTATATAGTGGTCAAATATCAGATAATCAACTCATTGGTAGTAACAGGTATATAGTGGTCAAATACCAGATATTTAACTCATTTGTAGTTACAGGTATATAGTGGTAAAATATCAGATAATCAACTCATTGGTAGTTACAGGTATATAGTGGCCAAATACCAGATAGTCAACTCATTGGTAATTATAGGTATATAGTGGCCAAATACCAGATAGTTAACTCATTGGTAGTTAATGGTATATAGTGGCCAAATATCAGATAGTCAACTTATTGGTAGTTACTGGTATATAGTGGTCAAATACCAGACAGTTAACTCATTGGTAGTTACAGGTATATAGTGGTCAAATATCAAATAGTTAACTCATTGGTAGTTACAGGTTTATAGTGACCAAATATCAGATAGTCAACTCACTGGTAGTTACAGGTATATAGTGTAATGGAGTTCAAAGTGCGTATTTTTAACAAAGAATATCAGATCATGGTTGGAATCAATTATTTCTGTATATGGGAACTCTGTTGGGTTTTTACATAAACTAAAACTACTTTTTTGTAAAATTCACAAACGAATGTAACAGATTATTTAAGATTTGATATTTGTGCTTTTATGAATAGTTAAAATGTATTTATATGTTTGTATTTTTTGTGAACATCCTGTGAGCACTGTGTATTTCTAAGTATAGACTTAAGGTTAAAACTGCGCCTTAAATCTAACATTGAAATCTGGAAAACATGATATCATCAGTTGTAACCATTCCTTGAGCAGCTCCGGAGTTCCAAACCAACTCTGTACCAACAAAAAGGTTCTAAAGGTTCATCTACACCTGCAGCTTCAAGCAACTCCCTAAAGAAGCAGCCTTCTACAGTTTTGCTCCAAAAAGCTCTAACGGTTTATCTACACCTGCAGTTGAGAAGCTCCCTAAATTTCCCCACAGCAACTAACTACACAGTAATAACGCTCCCATATATTCCGTAACAAGTTTTTACCAATAAACATTTTCAAACCCCACCATGCATCATTTAATTAGACCTAAGGTTTAACAATAGTGGTCAAATATCAGATAATCAACTCATTGGTAGTTTTAAGTATATAGTCGTCAAATCTCGGATAGTCAACTCATTGGTAGTTACAGGTATAAAGTGGTCAAATACCAGATAATCAACTCATTTGTAGTTACAGGTTTACAGAGGTCAAATACCAGATAGTCAACTCATTGGTAGTTACAGATATAAAGTGGTCAAATATCAGATAGTCAACTCATTGGTAGTTACATGTATATAGTGGCCAAAGACCAGATAGTCAACTCATTGGTAGTTACAGGTTTATAGTTGTCAAATACCAGATAGTCAACTCATTGGTAGTTACAGGTATATAGTGGTCAAATACCAGATAGTTACTTCGTATCTTATCTTATCTTAATATATCTTTACTTATCTTATCTTATTTTATCTTTTCTTATATTATTTTATCTTATCTTATCTTATCTTATCTTATCTTATCTTTTCTTATATTAACTTATCTTATCTTATCTTTTCTTTTCTTATCTTTTCTTATCTATTCTTAACTTATATCTATTATAAACCCCATTTAGATTTAGATTTTTGTGTTCCAAATATAAGTGAAAAATTCAAATTTAATCAAATTAAATTTCTCTTTAATATCTGAAAACCTCAACTTTGAAATCAATTTTAAAAATGCTAAAAACCTTTATTCTAAATTTATATGTAATAGTTAAAAATTTCAAAGGTGAAAATCAGATGACTGAAATTTTTAGTAATCATTCCCGAACCTCCATCTTGGGCTTGCATCAGGAACTGAAAATAATATCTTAATCTGTGCAAAAACATACATTTTATTTGTTATGGTCGGACATTAGACATTAAAGAGTCGGCTGTGAAAGATATGGATTATTGCTTTACCAATGGATTAAAAATATTAAAATTTTTATCTTTGGCTTCGGAAACTAAATTCTATGGGGAAAATTCTCAATATCAAAAGGCACGATAAAAAAATCATAAACAATGTTTTAAACAGTAAAGTTCTGTGGTTTTTCGCATTAATTATTTATAATTATTTGGTTTGCAGTGCTATAACGTTTTTGGACAGAAATTTTATCTTTATCAAGAAGGTTCAAGGCTTTTTCTATAATATTTTGTACTCAGCTTTAGCAAGGGACAAAACATATTCTAAGAAAGACTTCATTTTTAATTCAATCAAAAAAAAATTCTACAGATTTGATAAATAAAAACTAAATTTTCAAAAAAGCAAAAAAATCAAAATTAGTTTATTAAATATAAGAAATTAAATTAAATTTAGAAAAAAATTACAGAAATATTCTAGATTTTTTAAAGAAAATCTTAGAACCATTGAACTTTCTAACATTCAGACAAAATATACAGTTTAATATCATTACAAGAAGATTACTTTACAGCACTTCTATAATAAAATTTACTTTGAAGTGACCATGAGGGATAAAGTACACAATAATTTGGTAAAATATTTAAATAAAAACTTACGGCAAAAAGAAGTCAGATCTCCATTTCCAAAACAATACAAAGCCCCTAAACAATGTAATATATGTTTAATCAAATTCAAATGTGGAGTGCAATTTAGATTTTAAAAGCAATGTAATAATGATTTATGGAATTTGTTCAATCAAATTGAATTTAAATAAAACATTGTTTAAAATTAGAATTTCATACCATCTAATACCTATTCTCTGGGTGCCAATATTGGAAAAACAGTTTTTTTTTGAACAAAAGAGGTATCTTGATCTTCCTGAATTCATAGTTTGAAATATATCTAAAATCTACGACATTGGATTGCAATAATATTGCAAACTCTGATTTTCTAAATCCTATATCTTAGTAATCCAATGTTGTAGACCTTAGATAAGAATTCTAAGTTTTTAATATCAAAGGTTTACACCATCTGGTTGCAAAGATAAAAGTATTAGAATATTTGAGTGTGTGACAAAAACTCAATTCCTATACCTGAGCGATCATTAATCTTGGTGTAGATACATCCATCATGGCATCCAGCTTCAACTGCAGATGCATTGTTGGTAGTATTAGTGTACTTTTTATGCAACAAGTAGGTTCCACATCTTACATCACCATCATCTCCAGCTACTTCCTATATATAGTATTCAATACATTTCATGCAACAAGTAGGTTCCATACATCTTACATCACCATCAACTCCAGATACTTCCTATATATAGTATTCAATACATTTCATGCAACAAGTAGGTTCCACATCTTACATCACCATCATCATCAGCTACTTCCTATATATAGTATTCATTACATTTCATGTAACAAGTAGGTACCACATTTTACATCACGTCATCTCCAGATACTTCCTATATATAGTATTCAATACATTTAATGCAACAAGTAGGTTCCACATCTTACATCACCATCATCTCCAGCTACTTCCTATACATATAGTATTCAATACATTTCATGCAACAAGTAGGTTCCACATCTTACATCACCATCATCTCCAGCTACTTCCTATATATATAGTATTCAATACATTTCATGCAACAAGTAGGTTCCACATCTTACATCACCATCATCTCCAGCTACTTCCTATATATAGTATTCAATACATTTCATGTAACAAGTAGGTTCCACATCTTACATCACCATCATCTCCAGCTACTTCCTATATATAGTATTCAATACATTTCATGTATCAAGTAGGTTCCACATCTTACATCACCATAATCTCCAGCTACTTCCTATATATAGTATTCAATACATTTCATGGAACAAGTAGGTTCCACAAGTAGGTCCTGAAAAGCATAGTTTCCCATCAATTTCAATCAAAATAATAAAGCTCTTTGCCCATATATATATATATATATGTGTATATATGTCAGCTATAGCTGGCCAAACGGCCGGACCAACTAATTATTTGTTTAGGAACAGTTTAAGAAAATAAAAATTAACTATCATCGAAAATAAGTTATCTTATTCAGTTATTGGTTTCTGTAATGTTTCATTGTTTAAAAAAATAGATTCTTAAAACTTAACCACCCAAACATAGATGATTTTGAACATCAACTTTGCGCTCAAACTCAGTAATTATACTTAATTAAAACGTTTTATATGTCTCAAATGAATCCTAAAAAAATTCTCATATGACCCCAGGGCGGAGTTATGGATAATCACAAATTTTGTCTTTAAAAAAATGTTGCCATTTATCATTTTTGAAAATAAGTAAATTGAAATTGAAAAATCCTCGAAAATTTGAGAATGATTAAAAATTGCGAAGTACCAAGCAACAATTTTTAATAGTGCCTCAAAAGCCTATAGTAAATGAGCAGAATGGAAAAGATTGATAAGGATTACAAATCAAAGGGAGAAATTTATTTAACCATAAAGAGAATAGTTCACAATAATTTGATTTGAACTTTTCTTTTAAGTTCTTGTACTAAAAGCAGCTTCTCGGTAAAACCAAACCAATTTGTTTCGGAAAGACAAAAAGCTGTAAGATTTGTTATTTATACAGGTTAGAACTTAGAAGGTCTTCAAATGTTGTAAATATCTGGTGGTATTCTTGTGAATCCTAAGATTACATGGTTAAAAATGAGGATTAAAAATCAAAATTTAAAAAGTTAAGATTGGAAAAAAATAGTTGCTATTAGGCTAACTCTCACCTGTGCCGGGCAGCACTGCAGGGATAGAGTATATCCAATAGTAGAGATGAAGAAGAGAACTAGAAGAGTAGTTTTCATCTTGGAGTTCAGGATTGGAATGAAATCAGAGTTTAAACAAGTGTACCATGAAAACTATTTAATGAAGAAATTCTGTTATTATTCAATAACATAAGGGTTTTAATAGTGTTGTAAAAATATGATTTTGGATATTACAGCATTCATAATTTCACGTGGAGAAAAAGAATTTAAAAAATTAGCTAGACCTGAATCTAAGGCACCCGTTCTTATGAAATATAGAAAACTGGCTTAAAGGTTGTACTGTAGCGACGCAAACTAACAAAGATATAAACGGACTGATATATATATTTTTGTCTCTAACTTACAACATCTAAAAACGAACTGAACTAAATATGTTTGGTTTGGTCTTCAGAGCTTCCGGGAATCAGCTGGTAATCCAGGGTCTCCACAGTACTACCATTTTATATCTTAGATTAAACTACTCGATATTATTCTTAAACTTCACAATACTTTGGTCGTAATTTTGCTTTGGTAGGTTTCCTCTCTGTCAGTTTTCATACCATCTCTTAAATCCGATATAAAGAGAATCTGATCTAAGATGAATTCGAACCACACAACTGGACTCTGACCAAAAACTAAATTTTCAACAAAAAATAAAATAATAAATGTTTCAGGAAGTCTAAAAAAGTAAAGAATCTGATCTTAAAAGTGTAGAACTTAAATTGGGAAGTAGGTCCACAATGTTGAAGATAAGTCTTTAATTTTAGCTTGATAACTTGCAACCTTTGGATTACTGTGGTTTAAGAAGAAATCTATCCAACATGAACCCTAATCATCATTCCTATCCTGACCCTACTCATCTCTAACCTGAACCCTACTCAATATTCCTAACCTAAACCCTACTCATCTCTAACGTGAACCCTACTCATCATTCCTAACCTGAACCCTACTCATCATTCCTAACCTGAACCCTATTCATCTCTAACCTGAATCCTACTCATCTCTAACCTGAACCCTATTCATCTCTAATGTGAACCCTACTCATCATTCCTGCCCTAAACCCTACTCATCATTCCTACCTTGAACCCTACTCATATCTAACGTGAACCCTACTCATCATTCCTACCCTGAACCCTACTCATCATTCCTTCCCTGAACCCTACACATCATTCCTACCCTAAACCCTACTCATCATTCCTACCCTGAACCCTACTCATCTCTAACCTGAACGCTACTCATCTCTAACCTGAACCCTACTCACCTCTAACCTGAACCCTACTCATTTCTAACCTGAACCCTACTTATCTCTAACCTGAAACCTACCCCTACTCATCTCTACCCTTAACCCTACTCATCTCTAACCTAAACCCTATTCATCTCTAACCTAAACCCTACTCATCTCTAACCTGAACCCTACTCATCTTTAACCTGAACCCTACCCTGAACCCTACTCATCATTCCTTCCCTGAACCCTACACATCATTCCTACCCTAAACCCTACTCATCATTCCTACCCTGAACCCTACTCATCTCTAACCTGAACCCTACTCATCTCTAACCTTAACCCTACTCATCTCTAACCTGAACCCTACTCATCTCTAACCTGAACCCCACTCATCTCTAATAATTGACTCCACGTGGATTATTTGGGTTCCCAGACTTGACTCCACGTGTATTATTTGGGTTCCAAGGTTTGACTCCACATGGATTATTTAGGTTCCAAGGCTTGACTCCACATAGACAATTTAGGTTCCAAGGTTTGACTCCACATGGACTATTTAGGTTCCAAGGCTTTACTCCACATGGATTATTTTGGTTCCAAGGCTTGACTCCACGTGGAGTTTCCATTTCTTAACTCCACGTGGTTTTTTGAACCCTGTAACATTTTTGTTTTCAAAACTGATCAATAAAACTTTTTTATGAGAAGTGTTTGGATTTAATGATATCAGAGATGGGAACTATCGTATTTTGTTTATATTGTGAATTTAATATTTTTCAATCTGCCACCATTTTAAACGGAAAACAAAAAGCCTGTCAGAACCTACTGTATGCATGTTTTAACTTTTTGAGTTCATATTTTGCAAAAAATTCTTGGTCACACCTACTGCCCACGCCAAACACACCCAATACAACAACATACTTTCAAACAAGCCTCGTAAAAAATACTCAGTTCTGACGTACGAGAAAAAACACCAATCACAGCTAAAAGATCCACGTCATAGCAGGAACTGAGTATAAAAAAGGACAAAATTAAGGCTGACCGGTGTGTGTATCTCAGTGACGTGAAACAAGTGAAAGTGTACGTGTGTGAGAAAGGAACATAACAAGGTGTGTAAATTATTTTTACTTTTTTAATATCTATGTGGATGTAAGTTGAAACTATCCTTTTTTAATCAATCACTTATTATAGTTTTTAGTTCGTTTATATTAAAAAGTAATTTCACAAAATATCATTTTATTCATTTTCAACTAGGGTTACTCTATACATGTTTATGCAATTATTATATAAGTACATTTAGGTTAATGGTATAAATTCATAACATAATCGTAGTCTAAATATTTTCTGTAGTTTTTTTAAAGTATCTTAGAACATTGTTTTAGTTGTCGATACACTGAAATATATAAACAAAACGAACATTCAATATCAAAGATTTTATAAAGTAGGATAGATAAGAAAAGTATTAGTATAAGTAAAAGATTAGTTAAAGTTTAAATAAATGATACAGATAAACTGATCTCAGAGTATCAAAACTATATCTATATTTTGTTGTTTAAAACTTGATAAAACAGGGATTGCTCATTGTTCATTTTGGAACACTTCAACATCTATTTATATTTTCGCCGTAATTGCGTGGCAACGACAGATACCGGAAGTGAAATTTAAATATATTTAAAAAGGAAAACAATTGGCCAAGTTTGACTCTTTTACCTTATCCCCCCCCCCCCTTACAGCTGAAATAGTATCTGGAAAGAAATTAGGATAAAACATTTAAATTGTTCTCCCGGTATAAGTCGTTTACGGTGAGCACTTCACTAAAGTTCCAATTGTGCATAATTTATTCATTTTATTAAATGTCAGTCATTCTCTTCTGATAGATCATATTAAATTTCAATATAAATTGTAATATTTTTTAGTTTAGAATTTATTATACGTCAAAGACAGCCAGAGGAAAGGTCCCAGCGTATACACTATGATAGCATTTTGAGTTCAATCAATGAGAGAACAGAAAATATATGGGATTGGGTACCCAACGTAAAAGTTCCCAGCTCTGTTAATTCACGTGGTTTCAATTATTTCATAATACAGTTTGTTTTTTTCAAAAATTAATAATAAACAGATTTAATAGTACTATTAATCCAACCACCATTTACAATACAAATCCCACACTGCTTAAAGCAAATATTTTGAAAGAAAAAAAATTCTTAATAATTCAATTATGATTTTCCAGTATTATCATTATTTATTTTTATTTTTTTCAGTATTTTTTTCTTGAATCTGCCACAAAAACTTAAACCTAATTGTTCCGTTGTTTTGACGATTATTGGATGAATATAGACAGATAAGGCATCTACTTATGCAAACTTTATTGTTTATGACCCGAGGGAAGAATTATGGCTAGTTCAAGTTTAAAAATTTGGCCCGAAAAAGCTCGAAATTGATATTTTTTTCAAGTGCACGAATTAAAATACAGAGAAACCCTTGATAACGAATAAATCTAAAGAATTGATCAAATGTCGTCTTGACAATTTTTCAATGAGTTTTATACTATATTACGTAAATTTCAGTATTTGCGAAAGTTAATAAATAGCCATAAATATGTGGGAACAGTTTTAAAGAGTTCCATATAATCATTTAATTAAAAAACTAAATATCTGCAACATTCCATTTTCAGAAAGTGTAGAATACGACATTTGATGAATTCTTTCGATGTATTCGTTATTATGGGTTTCACTGCATAAAAATCCGCAAATATTTGAGTAGTATTAAAGCACAAAGCGCCCTAAAAGCCTAGAATATATATTATTGTAGATAAAGCAAAAACGATACAAACTACTTTTGAAGCTTCCATGTCATTTTTTCTTATTTCTAATATTAAAGTTCTTCATTCCAAAAGCTTTCACTCAAAAATATTAAAGTTCTTTTAACTTTATTAATTTATTTATTTTAAATTTTTTATGCAACGAATTATTTGATACATGTATTCAATGCAGATAATCATTTTTCCAATCTTCTTGTTTCCTGGCTTCAAAGTTGGTTTTGCTTCAAAGTTGAAACCTTAATCTGGAAAGAAACATTAAGAATAAATAGTTTAAAAAATAAAAACATAGATATTGATACAAGGAAGACAATTCATTATGAATTATCATATTTCATTTATTGAAAAAGTTTTCATGTTTGGTTTATTGAAGAAATTCTTTAATTGTGTTAACTTGTTCATCCGTTTACAGTCCAAACAATTTTTGCACAATCTTATTTTTCTTGTATAAAGGTTCAAAGAACCTTTTTTTTCAGAAAAAAAACTATTTGTTTCAAGTATGTTCATACTTAGACTTGATTTGTTTGCTTTTTATAAATACAGGGTAAGAGCAGTAAACACATTTTATCGCTGTAGTTGTTAAAACATAACAAATAATCTGTTGTTTTTTGAAAATCTTGTCTTATCTTATCTTATCTTATCTTATCTTATCTTATCTTATCTTATCTTATCTTATCTTATCTTATCTTTAATACAAGTTGGATAATGTCTTTTCCCCCTCTTTATGAGTTAATTTAGTCACTGGATTTCTAAGCATTCCTTAGATGCAGAAAAATGTTTTTATTACATCTTACATTCACAGAGATGTTCACAATATTTTCTACAGACTCTTTATGAAAAGAGTGCGTTTAGGCTTTTTAACATCATTGTTTTGGGACAAAAAGTGCATCCTTTAATGGAGAGGTCGTCTATGAATCATTATTCTCTAAATATCGTTTTAACACTTAAAGTAGTCTTAATTTTCGAAAATATGCTCAGTTTCTTTTAAAACATATTTCATTTCCTATGTTCAATGATAGAATTATAAGGTTATTTTTAAATAATTGGCGAAAAAAATTATTTGCACATTTTGGAGTATTATTAGGCATCATTTTGAAGGTTAAAATGGCATTTAGAAAAAATTTAGATAAACATGTTTAAACGACGACCCCTTCAATTGTGGTGATTGTACCTAACAGGAGCTTTTTAACACAAAACTATGATTTTTGGTAGACACACACTTTTTTCAGTGACACTCAGTACATCACTTTTTGATTTATTTTTTAAAGTTTTATTTTTGGGACTTTGCTGTTTTTTTCAGTTTTTTAAATATTTGAAAGAATTATTCACCTTAGCACTAAAAGAATTACATGAATACAGAATACATTTTGTCAACTCTGTCAACTAATCTTTTAACAGCACTAGGTTTCCAGTGAGTTTCGTGGTTTTATGATTGTTTTTTTAAAAATATTTATTTCTTGGCTGCCCTTATGTTATTAAGTCATCCTGAAATTCATTTTGTCCCAGCTATCCGGGATAAAATCACTTCAGCCTAAATAAAATATTCTCAGCAGGGATATAATATTTATTACTTCCCTGCTGCCAATATTATATCCCGGCTATAGTAGGGAAGTAATACATATTATATCCCTGCTGAGAATATTTCATCTCGGCTGAAGTGATTTTATCCCGAATTTTTAATTATTAAGTTGCGTATTTTCACATTTTCACAAAGTATGTTGTGAGTTTAGTTAAAAGTTTTAGTATAAATGAGAATGTAATCATTCTATACATTTCTACTTTAAAAATCAACATCTGGAGTCACAAGCAAACGTGTTCCTGGATGAAAGCGACAACACAATGAAAATGAAGAGGGAATTTGCTCGAGCAAAGAAATAAAACCACCTATTTACCTACTAGTGGAAGGGAGCTAGAAAAATAATATTTCGGCCAGGATTTTTAATTTTTGTCGACTTTTTTCAACCTGGCCGAAATTTATTATTTCCCGCCTCCCTTCAACCAGTAGGTATATAAATAGATAATCGTTATTCTACAAATACCTAGACCTAGCTCTAATTTAGATTCTGTCCCGGAAACAGAATCATGTTTCCGGCATTGGTCTCTACAGTTCGGCTTCCTTCCATATATTGTTTTAGGAAAATATTTGGTTTAAATCCTGTTAACAAATATTACAACTTAGCACATTTTTAATAAGACCTTTCCTTTATTCATAAATGCCTTCTAAAGACTTCTTCTGCAATAATGGATTTCAATAACAATTGGAATTCCAAACCTTTTATCCAATTTAAGATAGAGCAAAATTATTTGAAAAAAATCGTTTTTCCAAAAGTAAAGGATTTGTTTCTAAAACCTTTAATATTTTAAACTAAAATGATTTGATCTAACAGAATTCATAGTTTGCAATGTATTGTACTGTCTGCAACATTGGGGTTTAACGATGATTAGAAAATTAGAGTTTGTTGCAAAAACAAAAAGTTCTTTTTTTAACGGTTGTTTTCATTTTGTTTTGAAATCAATACAACTGTAATAGGAAACTTTGAAACAAAACAAAAACAGTGGTTTAAAAATTAGATTTAAAAACTCTCTGAATTCCTGGAGAGCAAAGAGTATACTTGGTAAAAATAAGATTTATAATAAAGATTTCTCGAGATTTATTGTTAAACATTTTTACTGGCAAACAATGAAACTTTCTGTGTCAGCGTTTTCTGAATCTTTTAAAGATGGACAAAGATTTCTGTCAAGTTTTATTTTATGAACATTTTATTACAAAAATTGAGAATACACTTTTTGAGGGTATAAATTCCCCAACCTCCTCTCTCAAAGTATATTCAGTAATTTTGGTTGTATAAATCCTTAGAACTGTTTTCTTCAATTTAATAGATAAAAAAATGTTAACTGTAAATTGTGTTAAAGATCCTCCATGCAAAGATGTTCACATTTCAGTTCACAATGGTACCCTTGAAACCTTTGTCTAATTACCAATGTGGAAGATTCTGTTGTTCTTCTAGGTTTAAAAGTATTTAATTCTGATAATTCTTATATAATTTTCTGTTGCAAAAATACCCCAAGTTACTTTTGTAAAGAATATGCAATTAAAAAATATCTGCTTTTAAAAATTTTAAATATTGATATTGAAGGGTGTTAGGGTTTTGAATCGGGCGTTGCAATCTTTACATTAAAGTTTACTGTACACTGAACAGCCATGTAAACATAATGGACCTGTCTGTTAATAGATAACTGTTCATGAATAAAATGTAAAAAAGCACATCTCTATATTTTGATGTGAACATAGCTCTGCAATAAGAATCAAAATGTCGCCATAACTTTTCTAAAAACCTTTTTTATCATCTCATTTCTCTCCAGAGTTGTCATTCCAGAACTTTGTAAGATTTCAGTCTCAACTTTTTAAAGTTTTCAGACCTGAGTTTCTTTTTATTGAGTAAAAACTTCTATTGTTTATCTTTCTGTCTCCGCCATATTTCCTAATGCCAGGTCTCTGATTGTAAGAATAGGTTTAAAATGTTTAATAATTTTGTCAACCATTTCAAATGTATTTCTCCAAGAGCTTATAGATACACTTGCCTAAAAACATAATATTACTGTGTTACATTGAAAACATAATAATCATCTCTAACCTGAACCCTACTCATCTCTAACCTGAACTTTACTCATCTCTAACCTGAACCCTACTCATCTCTAACATGAACCCTACTCATCTCTAACCTGAACCCTAATCATCTCTAACCTGAACCCTTCCATCCCTAACTTGAATCCTTTCATCCCTAACTTGAACCCTACCCATCCCTCACCTGAACCCTACTCATCTCTAATCTGA